AGTAAGGAAGGGATTCTTGTCCCCATTCCTGGGCTGTCTCATTTAAGAATTCACAGCCAACAAATTGTGGTGCCAGTCCTTGGGGAAAAACAATTTGGAATCATTCTTTATGCCTCCCTTTCCCTCTCATCCCTATCTAATCCATTAGAAGCTGTCCCTACCTCATGGTATATCCTGAACCTGTTCCCTTCTCACCACATTCGCTTGACCGCCCCAGCTGAAGCCACCATCATTCCTCCTAGATGACCAGAGTCCTCCAAATTTGTCTCCCTTCTTTATATCCCCCATGGTCTTTTCTTCACTCAGTAGCCAGGGTGGTCCTTTAAAGATTTAAATCACACCAAATTATTGCCCTTCTCAAACCTTTGTAATGACTTCCTAGCTCATATGGAGTAACACGCTCCTAACTCTGGCCTACACGGCTCTTTCATAGTCTAACTCCTGACTGCTTCTCATTTCCTTTCCCTCTTATCCTGACCCACCTGGCCCAGACATACTGGCTTTTGTGATGTCCTAGAAAGTGCTAAGCACTCTTCCTGCAACTTTGGACATGCTCCCCTCTCTGCCTAGAATGCTCCCTGCCATTCCTGTGCTCATTCCCTCATGTTCTTCAGGATTTGAAGACTTCCCTGGTCATGGCACCGAAATAGCTCTCCTCATCCATCTCTTTCTTCTCCTCATTATCTGATGCCACGTTATGTATGATGCATTTCTGTCTGTCTGCCCCCACTGGAAGGCAGTCTTCTCAAGGTCAGGAGCTTTGTCTTGCTCACTGCTATGCATTTCTATTATCTGAAATCTGGCCTGGCACATAGTTGGAGCTCAGGAATTACTTACTGAAAGAAAGGATGTATGGATGTGTGGCTGCATAAGTGATACACTTACTGTTTGGGCAGGCCTGTTTCTCTTTCTAGGGAGCCCTGTTTTTTAGCTCTCCCCCTGCCTGCAGTCTCTCTTACAGATCTGTATGTTAAATAAAATGCCCTTGTGTAAGTTGTTTTCCCTGTGCATTCAGTATTGAGTTACCAGCATTTCTCTTCTCAGAGGTTGGGAGTCCCAGAGTGGCTGTCAGTATGCTCTCTCGCTAATCGTGGGCATATTGGAGTTTTCACATGAGTGGATCATGACAAATTTACCTAAGATTTAGAATCATCATGGAGCAGTGTGGAGAATTTGATTTTAGTCCTCTTTAAAAGGTTGTCTTCTGTAACTCTGAGTGGAAATTTTAATTTTTACAATTAGAGACCATTTTATTTGGCTTATATATTATTTCTCTTTTAAACTTACAGTTATATCCTGAAAGTACTAACTTTGGCCCTATGTAACCACAGAGCTCTAATTATAAATTGGCTGTAAAATATTCTCAAAATGTAGTTTTTGTTTGAGACTGAAAAAAAAAAACCATATTTTGGCAGTGTTAGATATTCTGAGTTAGTTGTCACTGACAATATGTTTGTCACCAACAAAGGGAGAGGGAAGGGTTTTTTGGCGGGGGAGGTTTGTTTGTTTTGTTTTTGTTTTTTGCTTCAGTCCAGAACACACTTCCTCAAACCAAGAGCAAGATTTACTTGTCCTCCTAGTAACTGGGCAGGTAACTATCTATTGCCAATTGAACTTATTTTCTGTATCTTTTGATCAAGTTTCTTTGGTTTGCCATTCACTCTTTTTATCTGTCATTTCATTAAAAAGATGTGCTTCAGAGTCAGATGAATCTAACTTTGAAACTTGCTCTTATATGATCTTGGAAGAATTACTTCTTGGAACCTTACTTGTATGATCTTGGAAGAATTACTTCCTTTTTATTCCAATTATCCCATCTGTAAAAGGGAAAACCATATTTTCCTCATACGGTTGTTGGGACAATTTAATGAGGTTACATGGCTCGATTTGTTAGTGCAGTGCCTAGCACAGAATAGGCATCTAGAAGGTATTGGTTGCTGTTATTATTACTTGAAAGATATGTCATAAATTAATGCCTTGGCTATTGTGTTCAGCCAGAACTTTTTGAAAGAGCAAATGGATCCTACACATTTGTAGGATGGAGATTGACTAATGTCTTTCGTTCCATGCATGGCTCTCTTAATCTACTTGAGGCATTTCCACAATGGATTTCAAAGTGCCGTGTACCCATAGGAGGTAGGACTCTGGCCTTTGAAATTCCTATATTTCCTTCCTAACCAAAAGGACAAAATGAGGGTATGTTAAAAGGCAAGAGTTGGGAGAGAGAGGGTGGGAAAGGTCTTTGACAGGGACGTCACTGTGGAAGAGAATGTCCCAGGCAGTCAGGGAGCCAACTTGTCTGGAGGCTGGAGGACCATTGCTGTAACAGCTTCTAAAGGACAAAGCAAGTGCTGTTAGGCAGGAAGACTCCTGTGGTTCCTCATTCTGTCAGTTCCTGAAGACACTTTACCAGACTGAAGGAGTTCTGGATGTTTAGTTTTCATGGTTGCAGGGTGATTTGTGAGTAAACATAGGTAATGGTTTTGAAACGAGGATGAGCAAAGATGAAACACATGCATTTAAAAAAGGAATATAGAAGTCCTTTCCTGGTGAGCATTTTCCCTCTGCTGCTTGCTGGGCTGGTGCTTTCTTTGAGGTGGTAAACAATTGAGATAGTGATAAATGCCTTATATTTCTTTAGAGAATTTGTCATTTGCCAGTGAATGGAATTTGGGTGTTGTTGGTTAATGAGCTACCGACAGGGTTTTCGTTACTTTATATAAAACCGTAGTCATTAAACTTTTCATTTTTCTTCATAATGACTTCCAAAATTCTTCCACTGCTAATTCTTCTAAGGTCACGATAAATTAATTGAAAAAGCTATTTATACAGCATGGCCCAGTCCTTTCAAACAAACAAAGAAATTGCTGTGACTTGCTGTAATTCTGAAAGCTATGTTTCTTTTATACTCTTTGCTGAACTTTGGTTGCTAGAAGTTAGGCCATTGTATTCCTGGATCTCTGACATTAGGACTTGACGATATCAGTTAAATCCTCAGACATAAAATATTGATGTGTGTGTGTGTGTATGTGTGTGTGTGTGTGTGTATTTTCTATGGAAGCAAGGAACAAAACATACATGCAAAAGGACTTAAGCAGAAAGGGAATTAGCATTTATTGAACATTAGTTATGTGCCATGTTCAGCATTTGGCATTACTATACCCATTTCACAGATGAGAAAGCAGAACTGGGCCAAGGTCACATGTGCCTAGTAAGTGGCAGGGCACAGATCCCTTGAGCTGTAAATCATCCCTTTTCCCTACCTTATTTGCAAATTATATCATAGGAGTCTCCTACTCAGTTGATGTATCTGACCCCCTCCTTAATGGCCAGGGAGCTCTTCTCCTAGGCAGCCTGTGGAGGAAGAGGGTCTGAAGTGAGCCCTTGGTAAACATCCCCTTCAACAAATCCTTACCTCCTTGCACTTTGCCCTGGAATAGAGAGCCACCTGCCTTGAGACTCAGATACATGAGGGACAAGCCTTCTGCTTGAGTGACCATGGGGAACAGGGTGAGAACTTGGAGGAGAAAAGTTTTCAGAACTTGACCTCTGGAGAAGGCCTCCTTCTGGGAAGAACAAAACTTTTTTCTCGGTCTCTCATGCCCAGGAATTGGAAGCAGATTATTGTCCATATTGCCTGCCAAAGCAGGACCTGTACTCCAAAGTCTTGCCTACCTACTGACCAAGTTTCTAGTTTTGGAGAACCATGTGGAAATGAAGTATGGAAGCCGAGGGAGAACAGCTGTGTCACAACAAACCCCAAAGGATTGTCCAGATCCTCTTTCTACCGTGGGCTTTTTATAAGATTTATGATTGTCATCTCTCAAGTTTTTTAGAGTGAGGCCATGCATTTATAAAGGGGTTTGATCACTATTAGGTTTCTTAGAGTTTTGCTTTCTTATTTTGGTGTCTGTGACTTAATTTCAGTTTTATGCTAATTTCTGTAAGGCCAGGGTTTTGGTGACACTTGTTTTTATTGCTGTTTTTTTTGTTTGTTTGTTCTTTGTTTTTTCTTTTGAGCAATCACAAAGCTGAGAAATTTTTCCTCAAATCTGAAATGGGATAGCAGTTATGAGAATGTTTTAAGGTTCTGTTTATTTTTCTAGAAGTTAATGAGACTGTTGGTATTTATGTGAATGCTGTAGGGTTCTATTAATGGTGTGGGCTTGAAGAATGTTGTAATAACCCCCTAAAGGAAATTCTGTCTGAAATAATTCTCCAGGTCTGAGTGCAGTGTTGTTAAAGTTGTTTTGTTTTCAGCAAGTTGTATATAAACTCCACTGTGTTTTTTCCCCTTGGGTGTGTGTGTGTGTGTGTGTCTATCACTATGTATCTTAACCACTTATAAACCAGAAGATATATTTCTAAGTCAGTTTAAATAATATTTCTGCGTATACAAAAAAGTACAGTTCAATACAGTGCCACATAATTAACTAATTTTTAATGTGTATGCCTTTATCCCAATGGGGTCAAATAAGTGGAAATACTTTCCTATATCAAGGAGATTGAAAAGTTGGTCATCTCTATCCATTTAAAACCATATATCCCCAACTTCACACATTTCACGCACTACTCTACTAATTTCAAAAGGCCATGAAAGTCATTCTCATAGTCATCCAGAGGTCTGTGAAGTGATGCCTGTGTTAAGGTCAGCTGCTATGAAATAGGCTCTTCTGGTTTCCATCTTCTTCCTCTGATTCTTCACTCTCTTAGGGCCTCAGGGCTGAGACACAACCCGTTAATCCATATTTCCTTTCTTTACTCCTCTCATCCCACTGTTACCATGAAAAGTGGCTATGATTTTTCCCCCCCTAGGAAATAAAAGGGATTTAGTACCCAACGCCAACTGACTTCTTTATCCATAGGTGAGGATTTGGCCCTAGAAAGAGAGATTATTATGTACATGTGATGTCATGACTTATGTCTTCTTTAGAATGTTATATTTTCTTTACTTGTTCTTCTTCTTTTAAATAAATCAAATTTCTTTTAAATAAATCCAGGTATGCCTGGAGGACCTCTGAATGGAAAGAATGCCAAGTCTCTCTTCTCCTCAAGCAGCAGGACCCCCACTGGCATGTGACGGGACCTGTTTGTGGAGGAGGGATCCAGACCCGGGATGTATACTGTGCCCAGAGCACACCAGCGTCCACCGCACAGAAGGCCAAAGAAGGTAGGCAGCCAGTCCCAGGGACAGATGTTGCTGCTGATCGGAAGGGAAATAAACTCCAACACCATTTCCTCATATTCTTTTTGATATAATGGACCCTCAGCACTCACAGATTTAATATTTGTTTTGTTGAGAATTTACAAACCAGTCTTAAGTTTTGCTACTTGCAATAACTGGGAATAGTTAAAAATAATAGCAATAATAATAATAACTTCAGCCTTTAAGGATCATTGTGAACATTAAATGAAAAAATATACCTAAGCACTGTAGCAAAAACAAATGCTACAAGCTGAGGGGGGCTAGTAGATTTGAGTGGTCATGAATTAGTAGCATTCTTATTTTGTTTTATTTTTTTTTCTCCCAAGAGAGTTGTTTGTATGAATTTCTGAATGTAGGAGTTTCTACAGACAATGTCACCTTCAAATGTTGAGGATCTAATTTTACTGGCAAGTTTCAAATAATGTGGAAAGGAGAAGAGAAAGGAGGCAGAGGAGGAGGAAAAGAACTTTCTTCACATTAGGCTCTCTGATAAGCCCGTACAGCCTCAGCAGGAGAGCATTTGCTCCAGAGTTTGAGATGGTGACAACAGGGTCTGAAAAACTGGCCCAGGCTTATTTAAGTCAATTGATTGAAAGCCAAAAGTGAGCAATACTGCCTCTACTCCGGAGGAATATCTGGCCTATTTCAGCCACATCAGAGGACATGGTAGTGCCCTCTGCAGTAGTCAAGGTGGGAATATTTTCCTGAGAATGTACGTAAATCCTTTACTGTAGAATTAGGTTATAAAGGCATGATGCAAACTTCCTTGGCATGGAAGTGCATGCATTTTACCCTATAAACCTTTTCATACCAGGTACCTTTTTTCCCCTTTCTTTCTTTCTCTCTCTCTCTCTCTCTTTTTTTTTTAAATTTTTTTAATTTTGTGACATGGCCTCTCAACATTCCAGAGGTATCTATGACCATAACCTTGGATAGTTCACCCTCTCACTCATAGAGGGATCATCTTTACAGAATCCTTATTGTTTGCTTGGACAGTTAAAGTTACAGTTTTCATTCAATTTTCTTCCATATCTAATGTCACTTTTGGAAAGTGACAGTGTATACACTTTCTGTTTCAGGGTAGAACCTGACTATGCTTACTTCTCTGACTTTGGAATAACAGAATTTAGATAAAGAACTCTAGATTATTCTTTCAGACCTTGGTAATTTTTTTTTTTTTAATTCTACCTCTCTTTCTTCCCTTTTACTATTGTCTACAGTATTAGGGTTTCTGGAGGTCAGCAATTGCATTAAATATATAGCATAGCTTACTACAACCTTGCTAGTCATTAATATAGGCTTTATTTTGCTCTTGTGTGGAAGTGAACAGGAAAGATTGTTCAGCCATTACTTTCCATTCTTATAAATGCCTTAATTTCCTACTGTTATCATTTATAGTTATACCTTGACACATCTAACAACATGAGAATTTCTTCTTCTTGGCTTAAGTTAAACATAAGAGAACAATTGAATTGCTATTGTAAGGGACCAGTGAGTGTGTTTGCCCAATTAAAGAGACCAGATTTAAATATCTTTAACCTTATCTGCTAAAGTAGTAATAAAACCAAAATTGGTGACAGCTTTTACATTTCAGTTTTTGTGAACATTGGCTTTTTTTTTTTTTTTTTTTTTTAAATGTTAGATTGTAGAGGGAGAAGGAATTTTAATAGAATTGATTTTGGAAACTCTTTTCTCAACGACAATTGACTTTCCCACAGGATTTTTCCTTAGACTCTAGGATACGCTCTTCAATCTCTACAGTGAAATTGCTTGACTTTTCTTCCCTATAAAATTCCACCATTCACTGTGAATTTGCTGCTCTGCATTTCGGATCTTAGGGGAACACTACCCTGGGGAAAATACTACCAATACCACCCATGAACCAAAACTAAAACCAAAACCCAAACCAACCAACCAACCAACCAACCAACCAACCAACAAAAATACAAACCCCCAAACCAAGACCTATTTCCATGGATCTCTCATGCAGTAGAATGAAATGGAATCTGAATTCCAGAATGCGGGGATGGGGGTACCAAAAGCAATGTTAATTCTCTCCCAAGTGCCTCTAAGTTTATTCCATAGGCTGGATGCTGAGGCGGAGTTTGCTGTTAGCGACTCAGACATCCCATTCCCCATTTGACCTCAATTCATGGTGCTTAGAGAAATGGCATAATACCTATGGCATATTTACCTAGTTCTTTTGTTCAGTGTTCATGTGATGTTTTAAATGCAGCCACAGGGGTGCTGTAACAATCAATATGAGAAGCATTACCTGCAATAGTAGCTAAGCCAATAGAATGGGGAAGAAAATATAGAAGAGTATTTATGGTTTTATTTACCAGTTATTGTTGTAGAGAGAGTTGTGCTTCTCTTGTATAATTCAGAAATACCAGCAAGAGTGATGCTTACCTCTAAGTTTAAAAGTTTGGTTCGGCGAGACCATTTCCTTCTTGCTCTTTTCTCAACTGAAATTAAAGCCACTCAGCCTGCATTCAAGCATTGTTTCTCAGGAGATAAATCATTGAAATAAAGAACACACCTTCAAAATTTAATAAAGACTGGGACCTACATATTTTCCATTCATGAAAACATGGCCTAGAGACTGAAATAGCAACAAATATGGAGTGAAATGACATGGAGATAGAATGTATTTATATGATGAGGAAGAACCGCCCTCCCCCGCCCCCCAAAAAAACCTCAAAAATCCTAAACAAAAAATTGGGGAAAGGTATTGGTGTGGTTGCAATTAAGAAGAACCCTTCCTGATTTTTTTTTTCTTATTTCAGATTCATTATTTGACATTAAATGGACACAGCTCTTTTAATGATGGGACACAGTTTAGCTTTGAGTTGTTAAATGCATTAGTTGTTTCCTCCACTCCAGTAAGATTAAGTAGTTCTTGAAAGTCCTACATCTTTATCATGTTGGACCCAGCGTTGACATTAAGGAAGTACATGGTCAGATAAGGGCATGTGTTCTGGAATGTTAAGTAGTATGTGGAGACTTAATGTATTTTGGGTCTAAGTAGTGTATGGAGACTTAATATGTTTGGGTTGCAGGCTTTAATTTTGACCTGTATAGAACTTAGATAAGCGACATGAATGCTGTTCCTGTCTTCTAGTTCATTGTGTTGTTTTTAAATATATTGATTTGGTGAGTAAAAAGTGGTTGAAAATCATAGCCTTTTTTTTTTTTTTCCAGTAATTCATTAAATGTCAGCTGTGTTTTAGGCTGTGTACTAGACACTGATATGATGAAGTTGCCTCTTATTACTTTATAGTTTTTTTTTTTAATTGGAACAACAATTGAACTAGCAACTATGCTATAGTGTCATAAGTAATATGATCATTACATATATAATATGGCTGTAATCATTTAATGATATCTGAGGGTTATCATCATAAAGGAGGTACTGCTTAAAGAGAGTTTGAAGGATCATTAGGGAAGAATGTTCTCATTGGGGGCAGAGGGGACATATGGAAAGGAATGGAGACATTTGTGTTCAGTGGTGGCACATGAATTGGTGTGAGGGGAGCATAGGGAATAAGAAAGTGACAGTGACACTGGAAATCTAGGCTTTTTGTGCTATTCTGGAGGTGAGACTTTGTTTTTGAGATATAGGTACAGCCTTTCTTTCAGCACTACAGGTTTTTAAGCAGAGAAGAAATCTCATATTCTTAGCTGTCTATAAGAATGCTTGAATGTCAGTATACCAAGAGAATTCTCGGGTGTGCTCATGTCCAACTTGCAAACCTATCTGGTTATCCAAGAAGTTTTTGTGCTATGAAATAAAGTAATTTACATTATGAACAGATGAACAGACTTCTGAAGGGGCAATTGAAGGAGATATCTATTCCACCATCATTTGAGGACCTATCTTTAGAAATTGGTTTTAAAGTCAATAAATTCATTTGGGTGTGAGAATAAAGTTTAAGGAAAAAATGCTCTTAGAACTTCCTTTATTATTGACTCATAGAGGAGAAATGGATTTACAGCATTTTCTCTTCCTGTATGCTAACAGAGAAAAAGAGATAACTGGATGAAATAATCTTTGCTATTTAACAACAGGCTGTTTGATGGCAGTTCATATGAGACCAAAAGGTAGAAGACAGTTCTAGTCATTCTACTTTGGAGACACCCTCAGTTATTGGGTTTATAGGTGTTGGAAAAAGTCCGTATATGTATAGTTCAAATATATGCATATTTATATTTCAAATATTCTCTCCAAACATTTTCCCAAAAAGTGTGAAAGCTGAGAAAGGTTTAAAAAAAGAGTATTATGTATTTAAAGGCAATTAGGTCACCAGGAGCCTAAATTGAGATTGGTTTCTACTGGTTCCATTTCATTGGTTCTGTATCTTAGTTTAGTGATTTTTTTTCTTTTTAATCAAGTATAACAAACTTATTTTAGTGTGATATGGCAAATGTTTATTGAATTACAGTGCTTAGCAGAAATATTGAAGAGTTCTTATTTTACCACTCATTAAATTATCAGGCTGTTCTTGACATTAAAAATGTCTTAATTTATTTAGCTCAAGATATAATTCATATGATTGAAATGGGACAGGAGGGAGCTGGCTTGGACAAATGATAGAGGTGGGATAATTGAGGAGAAAACCTAGCACTGAGTACTGACTACACATGGGAAAAATAAATGACTTGTGGAAAAATGGGCCTTTTAGACGAGATGTGAGTCCTGCTTTATTTGATCTCTAAAAGAGGAGGAACACCTTCTTCTTCATGCAATATATTATGATGTATTTTTTCAAAATCAGTACAACAAAAGTAATTCAGTACCACATGCTACTGAAACCAAAGTGTGTAGCGTCACACAGAAGCAAGATTGACAAGGACCTAGAACCAGAGGCGAGTTTGAATTTTTCCAATTCTTTTACCAGTGATATTTCAGCTTTGCTAATCTTCCTACACTAAGCCCATAGCCCTGTAAAACACGTTACTTT